AAGCCTGTTGGCATGTGCCACCTTTGGCTTACATCGCTGACCACATTTTATTCGAAAAGTCAGGTCTGAGAGACGATCCACTATGTCATATGGGTCTTCCCATGGAGAAGACAACTTAGGAGACTTCCCTTTGGTCTTCCTGGGATTATACAACCACACCTTGTCTCCAGCGAAGGGAGTAAGACATCCCAGTGATCTTGGTGGCTATTACAAAACTTTGCCAATTCCTGTCCAAGTGTCCAATTGTACTTTTCTACCATCCCATCGGACTGTGGGTAAAGTGGCATTGTTCTGGTCTTTCGTATGCCAAACAACTTGCTGCATTCATGGAACACAGCTGATTTAAAGTTACGGCCTTGATCTAAATGCAATTCGTATGGCATACCAAATCTGAAGAAAGAAATCACTAATAGCCAAAGCTACAGTTGTAGCTTCCTGATTTGGTATTGCATATGCCTCAGGCCACTTGGTGAAATAATCCATCACCACACAAATGTACCTGTTTCCAGCACGAGTTTGGAGCACATCCCTTATGCTTGGGTCCCCTTTTAGCACAACATGTACTGCAGGTCCTGCACCATTCTTCCACATCTTGGCTCATACCTATCCAGTAAATTCTCTGCTGTAGGTGACTCAATGTCTTCTTAACTCCAAGATGTCCTCCTGTTAAACTATCATGGAATTGACGCAGCAGAACTTCCCATAACTTTCTCGGTATAACTGTTTGCCAGGTCGTTACTTTCCCATCTGCAGTCTCCCATCTCCAGACAAGACTACCGCCTTTAAGCTTCAATTGATCCCATTGTGCCCAATAGTTCTTTGTCACAGGGCTTAAACTAGACACCTTCTCCCAAGCAGGGCGCAAAACACTTGCTTCTAGAAAATAAATTATTTGCTTCAAATCTTGGTTTTTCTCCTGCTCTGCTTTAATATCTACACCTGGTTCCATTTCACCATCATCAAAACTCCTTCAGTCACTTTGACTTCAGCTTGATGGCACCTGGTTAGTTCAACCTCTCTTTTGCAGCAATGTCTGCAGTCATTTTTGCAGGGTGTTCGGCTCAGTCCATCAGCATTTCCATGAGATTTTTCTTCTCTGTATTCAATATCATAATTATACTGGTCTATCTTTCCGATCCAAAGTGCCAGTTGTCCCTCTGGGTTCTTTAATGATCTTAACCAGCGTAATGCAGCATGGTCTGTCCTGATGATAAACCTGGCGCCATACAGATAAGGATGGAAATATGTCAGACTCTTTACTATTGCAAGGAGTTCCTTCTTTGTTACACAGTAGTTCCTCTCT